GAATAAGCCAGAAATGCAAATGGAGACACTATTTCAGAATGCAGGAAGAAAGATAAAATGAAAAGAAGGAGTAAGAAAAGGAGAAAAACTCCTAGTGAAAAGTGGGAGAAACACATGGGGCTGATTCTTGTTGTGCCATATGCAGTAAATGACTACTTTGGCCTGGACTGTTCAGATACTGTACTGCTTGCTGACAGTATTAGTGGATTAGTTGGTAGGACATGGAAATCACAACATTACAATGTGTTTCAAATATTAATTTCATCTTAAGTAGAAAGTTCTTTGTGTTAAATTCAGGGGAGCACTTTAGAAACACAATTTTGCAAGAAGGAAGCAGGGAATCTTCCAACTGTCTCACTGACTTTCAACCTTCGATTCAAACAGAATATTTCTGTGCTTTTAAAAGACCACCTGCAGAAAGTGTCATGAAAAAAGAGATGTTGATAAACAAGGACATAACAGTCCTTGACAGAAAAAATATGAATCACTAGAAATGCATTCTGCTATATAAGCTACATCTGTCCTACAGAACTGTGGAGATATCATTTTCTCTTTCTGTGTTTTTGTTTTAGCTCCTTTTTTTTCTCTTTTGTCCTGTTAAGCTGGAAAGGTAATGGAAAAAACAGGTAATTTCATGAATGTAGGAAAATGGGCCATTTTCTCTGTTTCTAGTCACACAATATAAAGGAAGGACTATCATAGTTTAATTTTTAAATTGAAAACTTGTGTGTTTTTTTTTTTTTTTTTTTTTTTTTTTTTTTTTTTTTGTGTCTGTGTATGAACAGATGAAACAAAGACCTAGGTAAGTAAACCAGGGAGACACCTCATCAGATTTAGTGAGATCACTTATGAGGTTCTGGAAAACATTCTGTGAACCATAAAGTGTCTTCCATAACTGTTATAGAGTAGATGTGCTTTCTCCAAAATGGTAACAATGTCCTAGAAGTTCTGAGGAAGGTTGACTTGAAGTAGACCTTCATGAAATCACAGAATCATAGAATGGTTTGGGTTGCAAAGGACTTTACAGATCATCCAGTTCCCACTCCCCCGACATGGGCAAGGATACCTTCCATCTTCAATCTACTGCTTTTGCTGATCCCGCGCAGCACTGAAACACAGTTTTGGAGTTATTTCTGGGAGTGAGCAGCAGCAGTCATGTCAAGCATAGCATCCTCTTGTGTCAAGGACTGTGGAGCTGGTTAAAGGACCAATGCTGCCAAGGCTGCCCTCAGGGGCTGCTGCGAGGGAGGGAGCAGCCCATGGCCAAAGCCACACCACTCCCAGCCAAACACGAGGTCTACACTGGTAAATTAAAATGGGTCAGAAACCGCTTGTCCTCCCCAAAGGCAGATCATATGCACCACTTAAAGTGGGCAAGTAAAGAAAACATTTATGATAAAGGTCTTGATGTTTATGGTCTGTCTTTCAGAGCCTGGGGTGATACGGTCTGCCAGAGGAGTATTATGGAGCAGTTTCACTCACAGGTAACGAAGTTTTCCTGTTTACATGTGTTTTAAAATATTAAGGAGGTAGGGTGTTCTTTCACCACCTTGAGAATAAAGTCTAAAAAAGGGCTAAAATTTTCTTTGTTTGCTGAAGTTTCAGCAGATTCTCGAGAGTAGGTGTTGATCTACTGACTCAGATAGGCTGAAGGCACTTTCTGTCTCACTGAGGAATCGAAGCAACAACTCTGTGACCCTGCAGAAATGGATGTCTTGCTCCAGTGTTGTGTTTAAATGGGGCTTTTAACTGATCCACGTTAATCAGAAAATTTTCAGTCGTCCCCAAATATCTTCAGTTGCTACTGGAGACTGTATAGACTTGTGTGGGTGAGCATGACCAAAGGAGAGGAGCATAGCTTTATTAAGAAAACCATCACAGTCTTGTAAGTCTTGGCATAGCTTTGAGAGTTAGGATCTGAAACAATTTCTGAGGCTAAGACAGTCAGGGACATCCAAGCAAATACGATGTAAACACTTGTGTGCAGGCTGAATGCATCTCATGAATTTAAAGCTGGCCCTACTCTCCCTTTTTGGAATAGAAATATGAAAATATAATTCTGCCGTTCTATAGTTCACCCTTAAAAAGAGTACAAGTTTGGCCCTTGACCCAAACATCAACCTCACCACAGAAACATAAAATCTTGAAAGGAAGATCTTATGATGAAAACTGCACATTCTGGGTTGTGCATAGGGGGAGTCTGGATTTCAGATATGTCACTGGGTTCCAGGAGAGAAATTTTCCCTGAAGACAAACTTCATGTACAGAGTGTAGAAACAGCTTCACACACAAAAACACATGGAGAGGAGAAAATAAATGAGAAAAACTAAGGAAAATACAGGAGGCAAAATAGAAAATGGTAAGATTAAAGTTGCCTAAGAAGTGAGGAGACAGCAAGGTGCTGATTTTCTCAGCGTGGCAGCTGGGAGAAGACTGAGCAGAAAACACCAGGTCAGAGAAGCGAGCACCAGGTACGGGCAGGGGAGCAGCACATACGCTCACTTTTTGAACTCAGACAGAAAAATGTCTCCAGTCTTCACTGTTTGAGGTCCATAGTCATGAGAAAAGTGAATGTGTATATATACATATATATGGGCAGACACTTGAGAAGAAACCCACAAGCCCACAAGCCAATTTCTCTCCCTTCATTAGCATACATTTAAGGGCAAGGCGCTTTGAGTTACGGTGTCATTACTGAGATTTAATTACTTTTTCTAAATGTTCCGCAGAACATTTACTTGTACATTGCAAAGTATTACAGTATAGTCACAACTTAGGCTCTCAATTACAGGAGAACGAGGCAGGAAAGAAGCTGAGTTAATTAGAGTTACTGAAGCTTAATCAATTCCTCTGTGTATGCAAGGAAGAGCAAGCCAACTTTTAGTCCATTTGTGAATCTACTTTACCTGTCTGCTATAAGTTATAAAAACCTTCATGCACAGGGAAAAAGTTGACTACTTGTATTTTAAAATGGCTGTGATTTTGCATTCTCTACATCAGGGTAGACTCTTCTCGCTTCAGTTCCATTTTTGGCAGACCAAATGTTTTTGTGTCCAAGACTGTTTCTGGCTGCCCATGCTTGAGAAGCACTTGATCTCTGAAGGCAAAGTGCTTTCATTTTGGGACCCCAAACCAGTGCTCCAGGTCTGCTTGCAGGTCAGCCTGTCTAGGAAGACCAGGACCTTCACAACGAGTACCTGCATAAAGTACCTATTTTAGGCATGCAAAATCCAGACCTACATGAAATCAGAGGAAGTCAAAACCTAATCACACTAAAATCAATATCCAATTCAGCTTGTCATGATCTGAACAAGGAGCGCAGGTTATGCTCCTAAAAAGGAACTGACTATCTATGTGGCAATCTGGAAACAAAATGAGTAGCAGCTCCTGGAGACAAATAAAATGTACACGTGAGACCAATGAGATCCAAACATATACCAGATGACTTCATTTTGCTTTGAAACTCAGTAGATACTCAGTCAATACACCTACGCAGCTGGGTGCACTTCAAGACTTATGGTCAGTCAGTCATACTTTTTCTAAGTCATATTTGCATGCCACGTAGAAGAAATGAGGTACTGATACACAGGCACAGACATAGAGCTGAGAAAGGAATTATTGTTCTGATTGTATTTTAAAAGACCCTCAAACAGGTGTTCTGTTTACTACAGCACAGGCTGAACTGGGAGGGGATTTCATTATAAGCTATAGAAAGCATATGATAAAATATAATGGCATTCAGAAAAAAAAAAAAAAGTCCAAACGAATATCTCTAGCAATATGGTATCATCTGTTCTTCTCCTGGCAACTGTCAGAGAAAAATCTTTGTTAAATCAGCCATACTATTAATTCTCAGCTTCCCCTTCATCATCTGCCAGGGAAAGCAAAATTGACGTATATATTACTATGAGTACTATTTTATCCATTTCTGGATCACAAACGATATTTCATATTTCTGTGACAAGAGCGGCAGATGCATGGCAAAGGTATTTGCAACAAAATCTCCAAGATCCTCAAACGGCGCTGGCAGAGGAGCAGCGTGGTGGCGGCAGAGCTGCCACCAGCAGATGGCATTCGGTCCCTGCAGTTCCTGCACTGCCACCACCGCCACCAGCAGGTACTCACCGCTGCACTTGCACCACAGCAGTGTAATATGTGGGATCATGTGAGACGATAGTTAACCCTAAATTATTTTCCCATCACTTGACAAAATGCTCCTTTCAAAGATTTTTTTTTTAATTTTTTCAGTTGTTTTAGAAAGGGTTTATACATAAGCACTATACAGAGACAGATTTGCCCCATCAGAGCAGGAGGATTTTATATTCTCTTTACACACGGGTATAGGTGCTACCCAGAGCCCGCCAGTCTGTCTGGCCCAGTATTTTTTTTTTTTTTTAATCTAATAGCAGCTTTCTATGAATAACTGACGAAGAACCTGACCTTCCTCCTAGTTCAATAGAACTTTTATTCTACTATTCTTCATGTTCATAAATACTCTCCTAAGGTAATAAAACTCTCAGTTTAAATATGTGTAATAATAATTTTAAAGCATTTTAAAGGTAGAAATACATGACCTATGCTATCTAGTGACTATAAAGTAATACTGAATTCAAATAAGGTTTTTTTTTTTCTCAAACAAAACTGAACTTTGCTCCCCCAAGGTATGAACTGAAGGCATCTTGGCAATTCAGAAACATCATGCTGTTCTTCCAGCCCTGAGGCCCTGATGCAAGATCTCTCAGGTATGGAGGTCCTGGGATGTGGGGCCAAATGTGCAGATGCCCTGACTGCTGGCACCCTTCGCCCACAGACCTGCTCAGTGAGAAAGTGGGGGGGGGGGGGCAGGCAAGTGGATGTCCAGGCAAATATATGCCCATGAAGAAAACAAGAAAAAAAGAACAAGCTATCTCATTTCCATTGAGAATATAAACAAAACACAATGCATAATAATATCTCATCTGGACTTAGGTGCTGATAGTGACTTTAAAAGCAGGTATTACCTGTTCTAAGAGATTCTGAAGCCTTTCTATTTCACAGTCTATTACAAATTTCTTTTCTTGCCTTCGGTCCAGATCTTCTAAAAGCCTCCTGTAGCTGGCATCGTTAAAATTCTCCACACAGATGGCACTGACTTGCCAGCTATTTTGTCCTGCTTTTTCCATAATAGCTTGAAGTATCGAATAACCTAGAAGAAAAGGATACAATACACTAGTAACACAACCATTGCATTTTTTGAATAGGAATTGCCCTTAATCAATATTATGTCTCTTAATATTTGCTCCTGCAGTGAAGGGAATAAGAGGTTGTATCCCTACCTACGCTGCTAGCCATGACACAGCATGCAACTAGCAAAAATTACAATTACTGTGATCAGAATGCTTGGAACAATCCTCAGCATTATGAATAATCTTCATATGATTTATTAATAGGAACTTTTCCAGTCAAGCATTCAGCTTCTCAGTTTGGTTTTGTACAGGTTTCTGTATCTGCGCATTTCATGACACAGCACAGAAAAACATCTAAGACTACTCATTCACCAAGGGTATTTGTATACTACAAAAGCAATATGTTAGACATTCAAATGCTTTGCCTTTTTTTTTGTTGTTGGGGTTTTATTTGGTAGCATTTAATCCAAGCAGTTTTTAATGCTTCTTAGTAAGAATTCTTTTTTTTTTTTTTTCATTTATTTATACATATATAGTGCCAGTATAGACGTGTGAATGTAAATTGTGTTATCTATTTCAGAGACTCTGTGTAGCTTTAATCAAGGTATACAGTGATCAGAAGTCAATGAATGAAGGGCATCGTAGAAGCTGTAATTATTACTACTGGCAGGATTGCTGCTTTTTATCATTATCAGTATTTGATGCCCCATTTGTCATCCTTGTGCCCATTGACAGAAGAGAAAGGCAGCACCCTCTCAGAGGTCTCCACCTGAACATGCAGAGCAAGCTCCCTGCCCACGGTCTCAGTGTGCACTGGCCCACCAGCCCTTCGCCTCTTCCCTCTCCTAATTGTTTCTCAGTGGGGATGTGCAGTACAGAGGCAGGAGAAGAGCTCATGACATATCCTAGGACAGCTTACAAGTCTATTTTTGACTTGCCCAACCAGCTCCTGAAGAAGGAAGCATGTATTATTCCATCTTTTACCAGGAGTAAATGGTGAATATGTTTAAAGCGATGAAGACCACACACCTCAGATCCAGAGTTGATGTTTGAAAACCACAAAGGACAGATACATTTGTCAATAACATACTGATACAAACCATACAATTCAGAGATGGTCTCTGTCAAGAATCACAACAAAAAAATATTGTATCTTTTTGCTTGCTCTTTGGGTGAATTTTCCCCACCACATTTAAACAAAAACGTTTCATCTCTTGAAAACTACTCTTAGTGACATGTCTGCAGAGCAGTGGCTCCTTTCTCTTTCCAACAAGAGGATTCCATGCCTGAGTGCAGTGACCCCCAGCTGTCACTTTAATACACTTGATGATGCCACTGTGTGACAGATTCCCTGTAAAAAGCACTATCAGACACTCCCACAGATTGCAAGAGGAATCATTCCTTACAATGTAAACAGACAACAGTTTTATCAGAATATGACTTTAGAACATGTGAAACTAATTCTCTTACAAATTTGTAGCTATTTTTCTACTGACTCCTGTGACATTTGCAGTCCTTGAAGTATTAACTTAAAATCTGCACCTTCTTATCATTTTGACATTATGCAGCCACACGCCAGAATGAACATTTATTATTTTTTTCTCCAATCCAGATGACATATTTAGGATAAAAATATAAACAATTATGAATACATAAAATGCATAACATATTTTATCCTATAAATGAGACATTTATTTTATGAAATAGTATTTTATCTTCGGAAATGAATTCAAATACTTGATGTATTGAGTATTAAAACATTTGTGTACTCAGCATATATTTTTAAAGCAATGACTGTTATTTTTTTCAAAGAACCATACAGCTTTCCTGTTAATTGCTGTATAATTATTCTGCTTTTCCTGTTGCTATATTCAATCTCCTTTTCGCCTGTAATTATCGCTGCAAATCATGATGAGCTTCTTTCCCAAACATTGTATTCCTTGCTTCATTTCCTATTCATTTCCATATATAGACATACATTAAAACTGCTCCAGTGTTACAGGGGTTCCTGCTTCATTGACACTGTAACTTTGACTTGATCTTTGCTACAAAGGCAGTCAACATTTACTTAATTCAGCTTCCTGACACAAATTAACATTTTCTTTGATTCAGAATGAATGGTCTATGAAACAGCAATTGACATCTTCTCATTTCTTTTTTATTTTGTTTGGACAATTTTACTCAGATGTGTTTTGATCAAACTGTGGATCTCTCCCAACATAAAACATGACGAATATCAGACAAACACATGGAAAAGCTTTTCTTCTACCTTCGATCAATGTTTAACTTGCCACATTTCATTAGCAACTGTCTTCAGTTAAGCATTTGAAGCTTTTGTAGCTTCTTGTCAGTAGCTGACACTCAGATGAGGGTTTTCATGTTATCATGTCTTTCACATACAGCATAATACAGGTAAGTGGTAGTAACTGGACATAGTGCAACATTTCTGCCAGACCAGTTCAGAGTCCCTGTGCTAGTAATCAGTGGCACAATCACCCATTCAGCGTGCAGGAACAATTTTTAACATAACAGACTGATGAGGGTGGAGTTTACTCAGAATGAGTAAAGGCATTCACAGGCTCAGTTGGCATAAAAAATTAGACATGTTGAGGAGAATGCTTACTTGTCCAAAATAATGGGATGCAGCTGACAGGGAAAAAAAAATAGTTTTCTGTAGTGTTGCAAATATTTTATAAGGCAAAAAAACTGAAACTAACCTGGGGTAATTCTCAGAAATGAAGTGCAGCTTCTCTATCTGGACAAAGTTCTTAAACTATAGAAGATGTCCGCCCAAGTTAAAACAGCAGACATGAATCTTACAGCTGTCATCTAAAAAGTATTTTCTGGTTATCTGCTGTTTATCCTCAGTTATGCTACAGACAGATCAATGATTCATTTTCTGGAATATGTTCTATCCCATGTATTGTGGAATATTATTTATTGCGTAAAAGAAAACTAAAAAAAAAACAAACCCCAAGCTAAGTCATATCAGCTGAGCTACACAATCAATGTTTTTCAGAACAACATTATTTAAAAAAATATTTAGGACTATGCCAAAAAATACAAGCAATGCGAATTCTCACAAATATATATAATAACCCTTCCTCACCAACTAATTCAACCTTGAATTTCAGACAACTCATTTATCAGAAAATACAAAGTATTGTGCCCAAACATAATCATCTGAAGCCTGGAAGTCCATATTAACAAGCTCGTGGCCCTTCCTGGAGGTTTTTTGTGGGCTTTTTTTTTTTTTTTTAATTAGCAAATTTTTTTTATGAACAACATAAAACTGCCTGGAAACAAAGATGAAGTCCTTCGCAAATGTATGGATGCTGTATGCAAGAATGGCTTCTTTCTCCTTTTTTTTGGAACTGATTCTGGGGAATTTTCCTGAAATGACCTGTGAGAAGTCTGCCAACTGCTTTTTGTAGGTCATTGCTCAAATGTAGGTACTGTTGACAACTGCTTAAGAACCAGTAATACCAATTACACCTCAATATAGTGGAACCAAAGGAAAGACAGGGTGAGTCTGCAAAGATTTTATTTTCTTGATCCATTCTCTACTTGCTTTTCTGTTCTCTGGTCAGATGCAATTGTGATGATCTAACATGCTGCTGTTTTTTTTTTCTAGGAAGATACCAAGAGTCATCAGGTTGGGGAAGAAAAATTCCAAACATAAATTTGAAGATTTACTATATTTGTTTCCTGTAAAATCAGAACTGGAGATGCCTACTGCAGAAAAACTACGTATTGGTGTTGATATGACAGCTAAGTACCTTCCAAAGAATATCTCAGATTCTTATAACCCTACTTCCCTCATTCCACACTCCATAAGCATTTTTCCATTGCAAAATTCACCAGCCACACAAAAACAATGCTAGATGTCCACCTGGTCTTATATATGCTTAGAAGGATTAGTACTCAGAGAGACTTAGATATCTTTTGGAGGCTGAAGTGTGTAAAACACTTGAGCAATTTTTGTATTTAAGAACACACTGTAAGTGCAGGAGTTTGGGAGACTATAGAGACTATAGTAATTGGAGACTATACACAACCACCCTCCACCCAAGCAGCTAAAATAATGAGTAATCTTTCTGATTTTAAAAGTTCAGTGGTCTTTCAGATTTGTTTTTTTTTTCATTTGTCATTTGCTGTACAAGTTAGGCTTTCCTCTCTCCAATTTTGTTTCAGCAGTCAATGATTTAATTTCATTTATTTCCATTTAAATGAAAAGTAAAATCTGATATCTAAATCTCTTCAGTGTGTTCAGAATAAACTAAAGAGATAGAGGAGCATTTTCTTGACTTATTTTTCTGCTGGAATACACATGGTTGGCTTTTTTTCTTTTCTTTCTTTCTCTCTCTCTCTTTTTTTTTTTTTTTTTTTCTTTTTTAAATTTTTCTCCTTGCTTGCTTTACCCAGAAATATTCCAGCAATCAATTATAGTCTTATAATGAAATTTCTATAACGTTCATCTTCCAGCAGCCTTTTCATTCTGGTAAACTGTTTCCACCATGCCCTAAGCATATACAATCATTCTTGATGGTCTTGCTAGGAATCAGATAGCAAAATGGCTACGTGCTCCAAATGGTTGCACCCCCATTAATAATTCTTATTTTGGAACTAATTTATTAGTACCTAATATTTTGGAACAAATTTATTAGTGCAGTAATTTATTATTAATTTTCTATGATGAAATGGATGAAATATTTACATATTATTGCTGTATTTTATTCCAGCTAGCAGATGGACAATATTGTATGACAAAAGTTAAAATGTCAATATACTTGGAAACAGCATATGCAATATATTTGTTATGGCCCCAGGAATAGAAAATGTCTCTGATGAACATGGGTCTTTTCCAAAGATGGGCATCATAGACTGCATGTTACTAAAATTCAAATTCATTCTCTTCTCTGTCTGGTCCAATTAACTTTCAAATAGGAATTGATCCCATTCTCAAGATTAGCTATGATCCCAGCAGCCACAGACACTGAAATACTGGAGCTATTTTAT